GCTTGTGAAGCCAGAATTAACAGTGCATGGTAAAAGCAAAATGAGATTAATTTTGGCTATTAGAAACCTGACTCTCAGGGGAGGCTCACCCCATTCCAGGAACTTCTGGGGACTGCACAGGGTACACCAGTGATCTGAGGCAGGGGAATTCAAACAGTTTTACATGGCTTGGACCCTCTGCTCACTTATGGGAGAAATCAAGCCCCATGTATAAATCCTGGCTTGAAATAAAGTCACAGAACTCTTTGCTAATCATATACATCTAAGCACACAGACACAGTAGATGCTGACCACCAACACTTATGTTCAAAAGACAACAGTAAATTCAGACTTTAAAATGCCACACAAAAATCTGTTTGCATAGAAACTGTCCCGAAAATTGTGAGTTACAGAGGCACAACAGCAGCAGTTCAGATGCAACTTTGCAACAATGTGCTTTTATGTTTCTAATACTGTATTTTTCTCTGTTTGGACTAGTGAATGATTATTATTTTGGTTGGCACTATGGTTGACTTTTGTGAATCTGACAAAATAACCTCCCTAAATACATAGCAATGAGTGTTAAATTCAGCTGGCCCAGAAAAAATGGCATCTGCTTCAGCTTTGATACTTGGCTTACAGGGTGTTTCCCACTCCTCATATCAAACATAGGATTGTATCTTCACTTTTTATTTTTACCAATGCCAGTATCAAAACAATTAAAATATCTTTGAAGATGTGACATGGGAAATGTCAAGATAATTCCTTTAATTCTTTATAGAAGTTGTGCAAACCTAGTGCAAAGAACCAAGCTCAGTTAGAATCCCAAGTACTTGGAATTGCCTAATGTATCTTGCCACCTCTGTCATCTTTATTTGCTCTGATTTAGCCATGGAACCTAAATTCCCATCTCCCCCCCACCCTGCAAAGAAATTCCTTAAAAAATAAATTTCCCAGTTAATTAAAGATATTTTTAGGAACTGTAAGAACCCTGAGATGTCAAAAAGGGAAAGTTTTATCAAGATGATGGTTTCTCCAGAAGAACCAAAGACTGCTGCAGTTCGAGTTGACAGAGCACATGGGCAAGACACAAGGAGCGAGCCTGAACCTGGCCCTAGGTGAAAATGAGACATGGCACAGAACAGCAGGACAGGTTAATGAAAGTTCATCCACATTATTTGTGAGGAAGGGATGAACTTGCCTCCACTTCCACAATGCCTCGTAATTCTGATTTATGATTTTAGATTTTTTTATTCCTCCTCCCTGCCTTTTGTTGAGGAAAGAGCTCACTGGTGAATCTGCATACCCTTGCAAAGGAAGAGGGAGGGCTCTTTATGGCACTCTCTCACACGATCAAACCTAATTTCCTTCTCAATTTGCTGAGCCACTATCTCCAGTAATTGCAATTGGTCTGTCAAAACAGTTGGCATCTTGAAATAATGGAATACTACCTAGTATCAATCTCATTTCACATTGCTGACAGAAAGCATGATTTCCCTTTGTCTCTCCCATTTGCAGTAACAAACTGCATGATTTCCATTTGCACTAATAATTTCAACACACACACTTGGCTGGCCAGCATTTCAGATCTATTCCTTCATTCTTACATTGATGTAAATGTTACTTAATATCTGAAAAAGTACTTAAGGCCTCCAAAACTCTTATTTTGCTTTTAAAATAAAAGACTGGAATTTATTTCATTGGCCTGGATCAATATAGAAAAAATAATTGCTGAAAGCTTGAGGAATCAAATTTTATCTTATGTTGGGCAAAACCCAAATGAGACAAATCTGAGAATAACAAATTCTTTCATTTTAGTCATAAATAGTGTTGGTTCCAAAGAGACAAGAATTCTTTCCTGTGTACTTGAGATGGAAATATCTTTTCAGTCTTTTCACATATTATCTCAGATACACATTTTGGAGCTATTTCCCTACTGCCCACATGCAAAAACTTTTGGCCTTTCACATTTAAATCTCATAGCTTCAAAAAGGGAGGCTTCACATTTCAAATGAGAAAATGTTAGGTCATATCAATCAATGTAATATTTGGAAAGAATATTTTTTAAAGTAGGTTATGACTGATTTATAGAAGAAGAAAACTCCAGAGAAGGGCTATAAATGTAAAGTCACCTTTAAATGATCTCAGTGGAGCCTCTTTCCCTTGGCTTCTGTCCCTTCCAGCCCCTGGACTATTTGGAGCCCATCTCAGCTTGGATCCAGTCTATCAACACCTTTTACTGGAGGTCCAAAACTGTACACAGCTTCACAAATCTGAGTTTAAAGTGCCAGATAAGGGAAATGTTTGTATCTCATAGTCTACTCCCTTCTAACCACATGATCTAGTCCACTTCTGTACACCAGAAAACACTTTTTCCTTCCACTGAAGAAATCCTTATATTGTTTTAAAATTGTCTTTGGAAAAAGATATGTATTTCAAGCACTACTTTATGCACCTTTACTCATCATCTCCTTGAAGCTGAATTTTTCCAGTTAGCTGATTTACTACAGCACATAGACTATCAACAGGTAGTCTATGATGATCAACAAATAGAACTTTTGAAGCATAAATGCAGTGTTAGGTTCTTTTTCATCTACTTTTTGTATACAATTAAAGAATTTATTAAGATGACATTTCCCTGCTTCCAGTTTTGTCAAAAAAACAATCAGGAATTCCTATCTGACAGCAATTTCTACTTTGACTGATCAACTGTTGGTTTTAAATATATTAATGCATATATTAAAACATAAGTACACAGTCTGTAATTGTGGAAAAAAGAAATCTGGAACAATTTATGAGACCCTTGTGTTAGCATTAGGACCATTTCCTCCTGAAAGGAGCCTGTTTCTACTACACCATGTTTTTCCCCTTTGCTACAATCACTGTCACAGGAGGCTCCCAGGCCTGACTTTCACAAGATTTACAGACAACACCCCCGGACTGTTTACTGAGCTAAAAAACTGCGTGTGATCAAAACCACCTATTCAGGCTGCTACTCTGACTCAGCTGACCCTGGCTGCTCCTGTCAGAAAGGCCAGGGCTGCTGCAGCGTGTCACACAGCAGAGCTGAGCAACACGCAGGCCCTGTTGCACTCCTTGAATCATCACACAGCGCCTCATGGACTGGAGCTCAGCCTCAGAGACCCTGCCACTGCACAATGCCCACCAGCGTTACAAGAAGTTGTTGGCATCCCCACATTTGAAAGTACTGTGGGTATGAGAGTACCCTGTTACTTTGCATTTTAATGGCTGCATAAATTAATATGAACAGTCTTGGCACTGGTTCTGCTCCTTGTCTGAGTACTAAACACTGCTCAAGAGTGATTGCCAAGCCATATTTTCCCATTACTTCCAATGGACAAAATTATCCTTCTCCAAATGCCAAGCTTCAGAGAATTTTCACTGGACCTCATATTTCCCCCATTTTCTGTTTGGCCAGCACATTTCTGCAGTAGGAGATCCACCACCCCCACTGAACACTATTTTCCCTTTTTCACATCTGATGGCTGAAACAGCACAGAGCAGCATGTCTTGGGAGGAAAGCCATGGCATATTTGGGCATATTGAGCTGTCCCTGAAGAGCCCCTGCACTAGAGTTCTGTTTTCCTCAGAAGAGGAAAGGTTTTTGGCCTTGCCCTGCATGCTGAGTGCTGTAGCTGCCCCATATCTCAGTAGCCCTCACTGGCCCTCTCAGTGGGTCAGGGCCTGTCTCATCCCAAAGCCCCACACAAGATGTGCTCCCTGAGGGTCTGGCAGAGGGCAGGACCACTGGCTGCACTCTTGCTAACCCAGCCCAACGTGTCCCTGGCACTGCTGGTGTCTGACTCGGTTTCAGGGCTGCTAAAATTCAATCTGATAAAAAAGCCCAAAATCCTCTCCCAGCACAGTAAGGATGTCAGCACGTGTCCAGTTTGACCCGAATTCATCCCAGCTTTTGAGTTTAAGAACCCAGTTTTTGAGGGGGCCCTGTCGATCTGGCAATGCTTTAACATTTCCTAGGTCAGACTCTCAAGTACAGTGGCAAAACAGTTTTAATTTGTTTTTCCTTCCCCCTATATACACACAGTACTTCCACTGTCTGTGCTAAGCAGCAGGATGAAATGAAAGCAGACACTCCAGAACCAAACAGTGAAAATCTGCATACCAGATCTTCACATCTCTAAGTCTGATCTCTATTACAGGCCTCAGAGAAAATATTCTATTTCTCTATTTCTCTGTGTTCAGTTTCCCACCTGCAGAATTAATATTACAGTATCTTCTTATTTCTTAATTTTTGTCTCACGTATTTAAATTATAAAACTCAGTCTTGAAATTATTTCTAACCTGTGATTTTACAAGTCATATGACATATGAGAATTAGAACAATACCTACTCGAGGCAAGCAATACAAAGAAGGGAATTAGCCCTATACTGACATTTATAAAGTTTTAGCAGATACCACAATGTGGTGACTCTGGTTTTGCATACTTGCTTGTGTTCCTTTTGACAAATCTTTGCTGAAGCAAACACATACATTTTCTCCCAAAGTATTTCCATTGCCTTGTGTGCAATTTTGGTGGAATGTCCTTTCTCAGAAAGGTGGAATTCACATCCATTCATCTACAATTCATCAAGAATTCAACATGGGAAATTTCCATAAGTGCAAAATGAATCTGTTTGACCTCAAAGTCCCTTGCACGATAAGTTTTGAGTCTGAAGATATAAGATTAGGAGAACAAGAAAAGCAAAACTCACTCCATTTCACTTCCTGACACGTTAAAATGCAGATAGATCTTTTGAGTATGTTTCTGTAATAATTGTTCATATTTCTATACACACACACAATATAGCAAGTGAATTTTTGGTAGGGAAACAATTTTCATTTTGATGACTAATCTCACAAGGAACCTTGAAAAATATCTTCTGTCAAAAAATCAAAAGTCCAATCCAGACATCCAACAATAGCATCAGAAAAACTTTGGTCATACTTTACCAGTCATCCCAAACCATTGTAAATGAATCATGGAATAAGGCTGACCTACCTGCTGCATCACTTGTGGGTAGGACCAAGGTCAAAAGTGTTCAGAGTTTGCCTGCGCCAGGGTAAATGTCTGTGTGATTTGGACAGTTCACCTGATCTTTGTCTTACTTTCCTCACTGAAAAAGAAAAATGAAAAGGCTTCCTCAGCAAAAGTAGTTAAGTACTACAGTTCAGCAAGACATTACATGAAAAACAGGTGCACAAACCCAGCAAAGGAAGGTGTTGATGATCCTAATAATTATGGGCAAATAATAACATACTTGATCCAACAATCTACAAGCTAACTCAAAATGTTTGATATTGACTGCGAGTTCAATAATTATCTTAGCAGTTATGATACTACACAGAACAAGATCTGCATCTCTTACAATAAAAGTAATTTGCCTTTTCTTGGCATGCAAAAGATGTTGCCCTTACAGCAGTGGAAGGGCACCCCTGGAGTGGACACAGTGTCCAGCAGTGCATCCCCTGCTGCTGGAGCTGCCAGCTTGAGTGTTTGAGCACAACACCGCATGCCACAAATACCATTTCACATGTCACAAATACCATTTTAGTTATGCCTATATTAAATAGAATTTAGTTACACCTGCAAGCATGGAACTATGAAAGATTATTTATAACCCTGGCTTTATGACCAGGTGACAATGAACACAAAAATCTGTGTCCAAGAGCTTTGTGTGCTCCTGGCCAAGAAGGGTTGTGTGCCTCCTTGCCAGGTGCTGCACAGGGAAGTCCATGGACTTAAAGCCAAACACCTAATGAGACAATTATGCCCTCACAGGGTCTTTGCCTTTCATCTCATTCAATGAGAGGTGGGGATGCATTTTTTGCTGTAACAGAGTGAAATGTTCTCTCCTGCTTTCCCTTCTTTCTTGCATGACAGCACCATCTGTTTATAAATACATCACTGGAATGACAGTGCTCTGATGATGTACTAATATAATACATCATCAAAGTGCCATCAGTGATGATCTAATGATGTATTAGAAAGCTGTTTATCAAAACCCTGTTGCTCTGATGATGTATAGGTGCAATACATCACTGGAATGTCTTGCACCGGTGGCACTGCACTGATATAGACCTTGTGGGGAAAAATGGGTCCTGCAAGGATTCAGCAAGGCAATGAAATGCAGACAGGTAAAAAAGGACAATGAAGGAAATGCACAGTCAAATGTGTAAATGAATTAGATTCAGGAAGAGTCAAAGGTGAACAGAAAGAGACAGAGGTTTTGAACAACTGAGTTTCTAATGAAATTGGATTCATCAGCTGCAGAAACAGACACTTGGTCACATAAGTGGAACAATAAAAAAAGAAAGCCAGGAAAGACCCAGATTATTTATAATCTGTTTCAGAGCTCAAATCCCAGTTCTCTTTCACTCTTTCCTCTAATTCTATTCTACAAGGAGGCTCAGAAAATAAACAACTGGGTTTAAGGTATGAGGTAGAACAGGAGTAATTGACCCAGAATGCCCCATGTGCCCCACAAATTGAGTTTTAGAACACTTAAGTTAAAAGACTTTTCATTGTTGAATTTTTTTGTTCTTATTGTTTCATTGGTTTTGGGTTTTTTTTTTTCCCCTCTTTCTCCCACTTGACCCTGCACTTCCAATTGCATCCTTCTAGTGCAGCACATTGCCTTTGTGACTAAAAGAGTGTGGATAAGACATGAACAGATGAAATAGAGAAGCTGAGGATGGCACCATAAAGTTCCAGTCAAAGCTCACTGCCTTCCCTCCAGTTTATTGCTGACCATGAGGTTAAATGAATCACAGGATACATGGTTCATAATTCTTTAATTCAAAACAATTCTCTTCAGCCTCCACCTCTCCTTTAAATGAGCGGATGGATTCTGCTTGATTTTTTTAATGGGCCCCCTTAAAAAGATGACCCCTATCAGAAATAACTTTTTAAGGCTGAGAAAGAAAGAAGACTGAAACATGAAGGATGCAATGGCTGCTCCAGCTGAGAAGTTCCCACACCTTTGCACTTAAAGAATGCAAAATTTCTTGAGGTTGTTTTGTTTGGGCTTTTTTGTTGTTGTTGTTTATAAAGGACATTTTTCTTACAGACAGGCAGGAGGCAGCTGGGTTTGTTTTGCTGGTACAAAGTGGGTCTCATAAATTTTCAACAGCCATCATAGTAACAAGCTCATTGTATTTTTTTCCTAACCTCATCATTATGCATTTCAGAGGTTCTTCACAGGCTCACAAAGCATTTTTCAACCAGTGGAGAAAAAATGTCTTTAAGTGACCTCCAATGAAAAAGTGACCAGGAAAGGGTAACTCAGCATCCCCTCTTGACAAGTCCAAGCCACATCTGGGTGAGGCTTGGAGGTGCAGGAGACAGTTGTGCCCCTTCCACAGAACAGTCATGGGCCATTTCTGTGCTGGGGTGTTACAAAATTTAAGGCCAGGTGTATGCACACAAACCTCAGTGTCATATTTTCAGTGTGTTCCTAGGAGAGGAACATACACATGCTAAAAATTAAGAACCCTAAAAAAGTCTAAATTTGCAACATGATAAACTAATGCCTTATTTTCTCTGCTTTTTACTATTTTCAGACTTCTAAGCCTTTGAGGAACATGTCAAAGGTACAAAGCTATCAGAAATCAGTTTGGTAAGTTTACCAGTTCAGGACAACCAACACTTTTTCCTATTAAACAAAAGCAAAAGACATTTTTCAACAGATCTTGTAATTTTCTGTTCATGAACACTCTTGCAAAAGCCTTTCCTAACATTGTCACTCAAAATTACCTGCTCTTTCTCCAAAGCAAATTATTCTCTTTCCATGGACTGCTTAGTTACAAAGTGCAAGTAAATCACACAATTCTCTCTGCAATGTATTTGAATAGAATATATCATTTAGCATGTGCATATTTGAAGTTCTTTGTGTGACAGCAAAGCACAGAGATCATGCAATCAGGAAAAGAAAACTGCCAAGTCTTATGTACCCAACATACATATTTACATCAAAGTACACAATGCTAACTCACAGATTACTCTGTTTCAGGCTTAAGTTTTTCAGAGTGTTGCAGATATTTAAGAGAACCTGATTTTCTGAGGCAAAGACAATTGTCTTCCACAACTTGGGACCTGAGAATTTGGACATCAAAACCAGAATATTGAATACTCAGGCCTTGATGCTCAGAGAAAGAGAACACAAATACATCATGAGCTTTGGAAAAAATGAAATGTAAGCATACAGCCACAAATATAAAAATTAAGTCATTGAAATACTTATCAAGTGTTTAATCAAGCCTGTTTCCAATAGCTTGATGTATTGACAGAGCAACCCTTAGTGCTAAAGAGCCTAGAGAAAGGTAATATCTTCTCTTACATCAGTTGATTTAAGGAAAAAAAAGAAGAAAAACTTTGAGGTTCTGAGCCTCTCCATGATGCTGAGGTTTATCAGGTAGTTGCTACTTCAAATGTGAATTTTTCCACCCTACAGGCTGCACTGTTGCTCAGACTGACCCAGCTACAGAAGCTACTTGGAGAGGCCTGGACTACTGGAGTTGGGTGGTAGAAAGAGGGTTTGGTTTGCATGACTGATGCCCATGAAAAATGTTCCCAAGACTGACAGGAGCATTTGTTTCAGTTTCACTTACAGGTACCAGTTTGAGACTTTGGGGCTGTCACAATTCATAGGAATGCTCCCATTCCTGTGGCTGCAGACCCTGAAGAAGTCTTAAAATGTCATGAAAGTGAGAATTGTACAGAACTGTTGTGTCTTTATTCTAAGGGCAGCAAAAGAGCAATTACCAGGATGGAATGATTTGTGTGATCTGTTGGAGGCCACTGAGCAGCTCTGAGCTAAACTGGAGGACAGAGAACTAAGCCAGATGCAATAACAATCTTGTTAGGATTCACACTTTTCTCACAATTATTTTCACCTGGGGCCACTGCAAAGATGAAGAGCATGATCACTTTTCAGGGAGGAAGTAGGTGTTTCTTGATTTAACTTCTTGGTCCTTTGACAGAATGTTTGATTTAAGAGACACTTTGAAGACATGGATTCCAGCAACACATACAGATTTGAAGGTTGGAGGGGAACTCCTAAAGAGTTATGGCAACTTGCCCAGAGAAACTATCAGTCACCCAAAGAGATGTCATACTGCCTTTTCCTGTCAGGGCCACCTGCTGTAACAGGATCCTGTACATTATCTCTCAAGTGCTGAAACTGAAGTATTTAACAGCAGGTATCTGAAGAAATAGGTACAGAGACAGTTATTAAGCCTGGACCTTAGCCTGTAGAAGAATTTTCTTCTACAATGCTATGAATCACCAGAAATTCTGATCACCACTCAGCCTAAAGGTTTCAATACAACAACTATAAATAGAATTGTGTGGATTTTCCATTTTAGTGCTGTTCCTGAATAGACACAGCATGAGCAAGGCCACAGACACTTCTTGACACCAGCCCCATGCCACTGTGCCCTTAAAGCCCTAAAGAACTCAACACTACAACACCCAGTTTGCAGGGAGGCCCTGAGGCTGGGATGTTTTGAGAACCAGCCCTGGCAGGGAAAGGGGCAGCCTGAAAACAGGGGCCAAACTGCCAGTGCTGCTCAGCAATGCCAGCTGCCAGCATCAGCCAGGATTTCTGCAAAGGCAACAACACACTGATGGGCTAATTACAAACCAGCATCTGCCTAATACTGTAAAATTGAAATTCTGATAGTTCGAAAGCAGCCACAATCCTTGGAAAAGTGGGGGCAGTTATATGGCAAACTAGAAGAGATTTCTGGAATGCCAGCAAGTGCCAGCATTAACAAAGCCACCAGACAAGCAATGCTCCAGCAGTTTGAGCTGCCTGACCACTGAACTAAACCCTGCTGAGAGTGCCTAACTTTTTGTCATTAATTACCAAGAGAGCAGAATTTAAGGAAGGATTGAGGCTTTAGTTAAATAAATGGAAAATAGCTAAGCAGAAGTCAACACTTGTAGAACAGCTTTGTAAGGGTTTTTTTCCCCTTTTAGAAAAATCCAGAGGCATACGACAACTTCACATACAACAGAATCAATGATTTACCACCTCATTTCATTTTTAATTTAATGGTTCTGTTCATTCATAAAATAGAAATACTACAAGGTGAAACATGGACTGAAATTTAA